CCCCTGCTGTTGCCCCCACCACAGCCTAGATGAGCCGCACGCCGGCTCCCACCCCTCGCAGCCCAACTAAGCCATGCGCCAGCTCCCAGTCCCCCAATCCTCTGCAGCACGCCAGGACTCTGATCCTAGAACTAGACTATAGATGTTGCCGGACCAGAGAAACCTGGATTTTAGAGGTGTAACCTGAGTACACAAAATGCTGTCAAACACACTAACACAAAAACGAGAGAAAAACAATTCCCTGAATTTTTGAAATAGTAATTTTATGAGTTATTTTTAAATAATAATAAAGTTAAAACATTACATTTGTGTCTAAGAATGTTTAAACTGACAGTTTTTTTAAAAAACTTGGTTTAGTAGCTTTTAAATTAAATTATAGATCTCAATTTACAAGGAAGCTCTCTTATTTCCAAGGGCTTCTAATGTGGATTTAGATCCCTGTTCATTCTGACAAGATGTGGGCTATTTGATTATTCTGATTAAATTTAATATGCTTTGTATTCTCTTGTACTTAGAAGGAAATCCCAGCGTGTTACATTAGACTTTTTAAACTACTACCTTATTCATAGTGCACACTATTAACATATATAGATCATTAGCACTTTTTTCTGTCTACAAAACATTACACAGTCTTCTATAGAAAGCTTGTCTGACACTTCCCATTATAAGTCCCTGTTTTAAGTCACTTATAACAACTTTGCCAATCATTTGTTAAATCAGAAGTACCTTTCTTGACTCCAGGTGGGGCCTCATACATAAAATTAAGACCATTCTTCACTCGCTCATCACCCATAAGTAATCTAAATTAAAAGAACTGAATTTAGGACACACAGGAAATACACAAGTTTAGATTATTTATTAAAAGAGCTATTTTTAAATGGACACAAAATTCACATAGGAGATGGTGAATTATTGTGACAATTCCCTTATTAGTTAGCTTTAATATTAGAACACTATCGAGTTTGATGGACAACTTTGCAGGCATTGCTTAATAATACAATACAGGAAAGTTTCAGAAGATAACTTAATTTCATTTCTGTGCTAGCAGCATTATGAAAAACAGACTTAGGGTCGTATTTGCACCACACGCTGTTGCAGCAATCTCTGGTAACTAGCTGCTTGAAGCAAAAACTATAGTATTGCATTTATATGAACTGGATAAATACTCATAAAACTTGTGGAGAACTGGAGGATCAAGCAGAAAAAAGGACGTCCAAAAACAAAAGGAGGAACCAAAATCCATCTGACCCTTGCTTGCGTATTCTCAAATTTATGAATAACTGTTCAAAATGAGGAGAAGCTTTTTAGACTATTGACAGATAAAAACCAGGTGATGATGCAGCTTTAAGCACCTGAATGTGAGCTATTTTTGATGCCATAAAATACAGAGGGAAGGAAATTTAGCTTTTGTTAGTAGTGTGGAAATTCTCACCTATTATCATAAGATTCCTGTTCTTTAAGGTATTGTTGCATTAGCTCTTCTTGTTTCTTCTTATCATAAGATATTTTCTGTTCTGCCATCCATACCTATTTAATAAACATAATCTAGTTAAAAATTAATCTTGAATTCTCATTAGACGTAAATAAAACCATATAGCATAGATGCACATAAAACATTGTCTCAGTCTACTATTATTAACAGGATTAGAATTTTTATTTGCTGCTTATAATCAGATATGTCTACAAAATCTTTATATAAACAAAACTGAATAAAAGGATGTCTGTACAAATTATATTCTATAAAATAATGCCCAACTATGGATATGCAGCAAACAATCATTACATTGCAAAATGATATAGATAAGTGTAGCCGTAAGAAAAAACAGGACTATGTAGCACTTTAAAGACTAACAAGATGGTTTATTAAGTGATGAGCTTTCGTGGGCCAGACCCACTTCCTCAGATCAAATAGTGGAAGAAAATTGTCACAACCATATATACCAAAGGATACAATTAAAAAAATGAACACATATGAAAAGGACAAATCAAATTTCAGAACAGAAGAGGGATGGGGGGGGAAGGTAAATGTCTGTGAGTTAATGATATTAGAGGTGATAATTGGGGAAGCTATCTTTGTAATGGGTAAGATAA